ACAATTTAAAACGAATATGTATATCTGACATCCAAAGGAAAATAAAGTTTGTTTCGGTACAATTATGACTGAAAATATGTCTTACAACCATTTTTAATTTAAATAAGGCCATTGATTTAAAATTTTAAACAAGTCCGACTTGATGTAAACAGGCTTGCATTTCGTACTTTCGGTTATAAAAGATATAATTATAAACTATGTATTTTTTACTTTTATACCCATAAATGTATTTATTCTATGTTGTCTTTTACTTGCTATGTAGGGGGAAAACAACCCCCATCATTAAATTACTATTTGTTTACATGTTTCCTTTATTAGTGTAGGTTAGACCGAAATTCCGTATAGATCCGTTCTGTGTATTCATACTATTTAAGGACCTTATCCAAAGACTGACAAAGGGCCAAAAGTTGCGATTGTAGAGATTTACCTAGTGAGGTCGGGTTATTTTCAGCGACGAATCTCGCTATAGAGTAAGTCATTGCAGAAATGAACGATTCGCACCAAACTGTATCCAGGAAAAGGATAGGTTTAATGGGGGAAGTGAGATAGTATGAGACAGAGCTTGCGGCTATGCGTGGCAACCGTACAACACAGGGTTACGTGCATATTCTGGCAAACACTTTTTGCCATTCATGCAATTAACTTTCGAGCAAGACCACACACTGCCCTTTAACAGCCAATTCTGTAACTTGCGTTAACATCTTTCCCTGACCCACTATCTCCCCGGATATGAATCCCATTGAACATATCTGGGATGAACTTGGGGAAGAGTGAGGGCAAATCACCAGATAGACAACGTTTACGACCGCGCACGAGCACTGCAGTTTGAATGCCCCTGCCTAACGTCTCTATCAGGCGTTCCGTTCTCTCCATGAGGAGGAGAATTCGAGTGTGTAAAGCCGTCTCCGGGGGCCACACACGTTCTTCTGATAAACAACATTAGTTTCAATTCAAAGATTCAGAATCTCAAAAGTCTCGTTCACTATCGCCTTCCATTCCTTGATTTTTTATTTGGACCCCTAGGTCAGAATTTTTTAGTGTTTAATTCTTTCTTTTGATTAAATCGACAGAAAATGTGAGTAAATCAAAGCAAAACTTTAAAGGAATTAAATGTAATCAGATTTATTCGCATACACCAATAAGAAATTGACATATGCCCATTTAAAGTCACTGTAAAGTATTTTTTTTATATTGCTGAGTGTATATCAAATCGCGTTTTACGTACTTACGGCTTTAAGTCACGCCAACGTCGACATAATACTCATTGACACTCCCTTTTTCATGTATGATATTCATTACTATCAACATAACTGCCATACCCTTTACTACAGGCCACTTAACTTTAAACTTCTTTTATAAAGCAGTAGATTCAACCAGGAAATAGTTTAGGATATGTTATTTATTTATTTGGATTTTAGTGTAATGTAGAATAAGTGGTATATCTGGTATCTGAAGATTCTAGGATATTTGCCCCCCCATACAGTTACTCCTCGGACGTTTGCCGCCCGCCCTTGAGATGATAGGGCAATTATCCGCCCTGCAAAAAGAGGGTGGACAAAGGTCTTGGGACAACTGTTTGGGGAGCTATTTTATCTGATAGCTCAATTGTGTGCAGAATCTTAGTTACTTTATTACGTTTGGACATTGTGAACATTTAAAATGTGTAACATAGAAGTTTTAAAAATAACATCCTCCTTTCTTTGTGTGTTTTGACAAAGATATATTATCACACGTACTTTTCCCACATATCTACTTTAAGTGACCTGTATTCAAAACTTCACTGCAACATTAAACAGACTAAATTTTATAACCTTGATGTCGAAAATGTTTATTATAAAAAAGGCTAAGCAAAAACATTCTACGTAGAGTTTTACTTACTTTTCAATCTACGCTGCTTGAAACTAATCGCAGGCTTTCGGTACATTTGCCATGTCAATAATGGTCAAATTTTCATAAAATAATGACCCTTTGATTATCTAAAACAAAAATATTATCCATTTCCCGTTTACTTTATAAATATACAAGGTACGTATATAACTCGTCGTAGCATATTCCGCAATGAAAGAGGTTAAAAGATGAATGTATCTCATTTTGGAGAAGTTCATTTATAAGAACCGATCTTTTCTTTTACATAATGATGGTGCAATATTTATTTTTTTTCTGAGGCATAACTCAAAGAATATAGGAGATATAAACAAAACTTATGTGGTAATACATGGTTCACTGTTCTTCCTAATTTATCAAATGACAGCACAAAGGTTATTTAATGGGGTCATACCACGCGCGCGCATCCTCAAAATTCTGATACCGCGAACACTTTTTCAACCGGTATTTTGAACAAAAACGAGTCGTGTAAAGCAATCAGAATAGATTTGTTTTTGTTTTTGTCGAAAAAAGATGTCCTTACTTCTAGTTTTAGTATTCTAAATACCTTGACACAAGTTTTCCCTTTCTTGTCAGTAATTCGCGTTGAATGCGATTTTGATTCTGGATAGTGCGTACACCCGACGTTGAAATGCTTCAGAAATTGAGAAATTGTCGATTAAACTAAAAGTTTCACCCAACTGGAAGTTTGTTTATTGTAGAATCTATTTCACAAATATATTTTCAATCTTTGTTATTTTTCCTATGTACGAAAAGTGTCTTAAAACATGTCTTAAAACGAACTAATTACAGGCAATAGACATCATGATACTGTGTACACTCAAAAAAAATCAAGATACTGCGTACACATTAATGTGTCATTGATTCTACCTACACTTTCTTCGAAACAGTCTAAGTTCTTAATGGGATCAAATGGATAACAGTGGCGAACAAAAAAATAAATGATAAAAAGATAATTTAAATAAAAAGTAAGATTCTAATCTTGTGATAAAGTATGCTCCCTTAAAATGTACATCCTAAATAATATTTTTAATATTTTTCATTAAATTTGTTTACTCATTTATGTTACACTCTAAACTGATAAATTTCTTTCGTAAACTTCATTATAAGATACCAAACAAAAACAATACGTTTTTCCATTCCAACACGTCAAGAAAAACTATGGTTGGACTATATTGGTTATGGTTAACTTTGTTCTCGCCTCAGTGTTTCTAATATTAACGTTCTTTACAGGCTTTTTAGTCAGTTGATGCACTCATTCAATATACTCTCTTGATCACAAACCCATGCTACTTTTCCGTCTCCGTAAAAAACAGTTTTGCACGGTCGTGATTATATTTTGAAGTGACTTGACATTTGTTATATAAACACGTCCGCGTCATTTTACGGAGACGTTAAAGCGACACGAGTATGTGATGATATGAGTATATTGAATGAGTGAAAGTCTAATACTGAATTTCTTGAACGAATTGAATAAAATTATATTATGCAAGCCTCTGGCGATCATTATACTATTTTATTCAACGAGTGCAATATAAAGAGTATTAAACTTACACGACTTTAATATTCTATTTATCATATAACAAAAATAAATACTGTTTGAAGTTAAAAGAAAAACACTATTTTTCATTGACGCGTCTATTGTATAACGCTAACATTAAGCGCGTCTTAACACTCAGTTCAGATCACGAAAATGACGTCACGTCAAAATATATGCACGACCTTGCAATATCATTTTTACGAAATCGCAAATTCGGCACATGATTATGATAAAGTATAATAAAACTACATCTACAATGATAAAAAGTTGTCTAACTAAAAAATAAATACGGACACCAATATCTTTAATTCAGTCATTAACGCAGTACAGACGTTTGAAGTGTTGTCTACGTGACGTCACAATGTAGCACCAAAAGCAGCGCGGCAAAAACCGTTAAAAACTAAATCACTGTTGCTTTAATTTTACTATAAGTACTTTGTATTTCTTTTGTAAGATTATGTCAATATGTAAGAGATAAAATAAGAACACAAACAATGTATTCAATACTAGTATTTGTTACTCTCAAATTGATGTGCATCAACCTACTAAAAAGGCATTTAAGGAACAATAATATTAGAAACACTGAGACAAGAACAAATCTAATCACCACAATGCTGTTAAACTAAAGTTTATCTTGACGTGTTAGACTGGAAAAACATTTTGAATTTGTTTGTCATACATATAGGACGATTATGGTTAGCTTCGTGATTGTGTTACTCCATACCCTGCTATATTATAGCGCAGTTCACTCAAAATCAAGACATATTTCCTTTCTTAACCTCCCTGAAATTCTAATCATACGAGTTTTAACAACTTGTTTGCCAAAGAGCATAAAGGTCGTTTTACGATACGAATTTTCCATAGAAACGGATGTTGCATTTCGTGCGTGCGCATTCCACAACAGGCCCACAAAGTCTGAAGGTTTAGATTTTCGAAAAATACTTGCTATAATCACATTTTGAAATTGTAAAAAAAGAGATATTAATTTAGAAACCTCGCTATCATTCAATATATCTTATAAAGCTTATAAACTAATTGAAAATTATCTATCTATTATCTTCTCAAGTTTAGATATAATGTTCAAAATTTATTCATGTTATAGAAAAAATCAATAACCATATGTGTACATTTTGAATAATGTAGAATATAATGTAGACATCATAAAACATGCGTGAATAAAGGGAGGTAATTAAATAATTATATCATTAACATAAATAATGTATGTGTATCAATTAAAATAAATTAATAAACATTTCTAGATATGATAAATCAGTTCTTAAATAAAGAAGTATATACGCCTAATGCCAGTAAGATTATGTTTAAATTATCATTGTTGCATGTCTGTTTGTGATTTTGATGCTTAATGTCATTCAACAATATATTTTATTTGCTTTGTTAAAATTTATAACGTATGCATTTTTATTTTCATATTTTTATTTTTACAATTTATTGATATCTTATAGCTTAAACAAATGATAAAAACAACATGAAATGATTGAAAATCTTAATTATGCACTAAGCATTTAAGGGTAAATGAGTATATTGGGGACAAAATGTTGGAAATATAATTATTACAATACTTCAGGCAAGGATGGTTGATGCCACCACAGCTCACCGAACATATTGACGACAACACTGCGTGAAATTTAGGTATATTTAATCATTATATTATCAATGATGTAATAATTGCTTTTGAAACAAATTATTGTGATCAAAATAAAAAGTGACAATTTTGCTCTCTCCACTACATAATACATGGTTCAAATAAATTTTCTCCTGGTGTATCAATTATACATAAATCCCAGACAAGCTAAGTTATATTTTTATTTTATTATTTCCTGTAGGATATATATTTGCGCAATGATGATGCAAATGTAATACTTTTTGCAGTTTATTTCAAAAAGGGCAAAATGTAAAGACGGTTGGACTTTTCTGTCTGGACTAACATCAAACATTAAGTTGAACTTTTGGAAAAATAATCAATCCATATATGGATACAAGTTGATTTTATCGTTATTCCACTAACAATACTTCAGTAATGATGTGGGTTGGAAAACCACGTCCAAAATCATATTAACGCGTAACATGCGAAGTACGTTTCAAACTTTTTTGTTTAAATATATAGCAATTTTGATTGTGAACTCATAACAAGTCTGCATTTATAGCCGATTACAATTTTAAGATTATATATGTAACATGTGTAGATAAATTCTTATTTAATGTTTGGGCTATCTGATAACAATTTATAATCATTTTTTCAACAGGCAAGTTTTGAAAAAAATACTGTTAAAATGTTTAAATTAATATTCATTTGTTGAAACCTTACTAAACATTGCATAATGTAGTCGACACACAACATGCACGCATGCACAAACACAAACTGATAAAACAAGTTTTTTATAGCAAACATTGGAAACCGAAACCTGATGGACCATTGATGTATCTTACAAATAGCTATTGTAGCTGTTCTACAAATTAGAAAGTAATGTCAGAAACCAAATATCAGTCAGCTGTTGTGTATGCAATTAGCTTTTCATTGCTTATCAGCTTGCCAATTTAGCCTTGTCCTGGTTCGTTTTCTAAAATGATCATAATATGAAATTAAAAATAAAATTCTAGGTTATGTCTTGTAAAATTTTCAATTTTGCATGTATTGGGCTTTGTTTTTTCTTTGGGGATTCTTATTTTCTCTATTTTGTAACCACATACCTAGGGATCTGTGTAAAAATGTTGAAGTAACTATAAATGGCGGGGGTAAAGTAGAAATGTTATCATATTTTTATACATTGTAATTCTAAATTGTAATTAAATGTTTTTCATTATAATAAATATATTATTGTTTGTATGATTTTAGGTCTTTCATAATGTTTTAATACCAATATCTTGTCAAACTTTCAAAATCTTTTCTTTATTTGTTATAAGTAAACATCCAATCACTCCAGATTTAAGATTAAATCTCTGCAAACGATTTTAAAAAAGCTGAGCTGTTGTTTCTTTATTTAAATAGTAATGCGAGTCATTTAGGTCATCCCGCATATCCACCATGAAGGTCATTATTTTCACAATTTTGTTATATTGTTTATTAGATTCCTTTATGAAAACTCTCATAATCCAATAAATACCTATCGGGACCAATGTTTTGCTGTCCTTGTCTGAAACGTACTGAAGATGTCGACGGATATATCCAATTTACAACAGAAAGCGGTTCTTTATTAAGACGGAACTCCACAAGTGACATAGAAAACTCTTCAAAAGACAAAGAAACCGGGGATGATTCAAACACCAGGGTCAAAGAGGACACTTCAAACGACAAAGACTTGTTAGAAGGCATTGGTAAGGAATGTTATATGAACTATTCTATTGTACGTCTTGTTTCTCCTAAGTTTGTATAGAAATTGAAAAGTAAAGTTTATAAAGCATATTTTTACATCAAGTCTGATAATGGTTTTATTGTTCCATTAATTTGTTCGAAACAAATACATGTCTCTAAGACAAATTAAATATCCTACGATTATATATTGTATATATTTGTTACTTTCCATTACAGGTCAAGGAGAACACACGGTAACATTTGTTGAACATTTGGCGGACAAACTTTTTTATGCGGGAGAATCAGTTGTTCTTGTTTGTCAGCTTAACAAAGATGAATGTCAAGTCATTTGGTCGAAGGATGAGGAAATCGTCACAAACACGGAAACTGTCAAAATAATATCAGACAAAAGCAGACATTTCTTAATCATCCCAGAAGCAGTGACAGAAAATAGCGGGAAATATACTTGTACATACAAAGATCTGTCGACATCAGCGTCCGTTATAGTTTCAAGTATGTTTGTTAACTAAAATAGTTAGAGAATAATGAGTTTGCACTTTGAAGGAGCTCCACTGAGGTCCAAAACCTAATATATAAAGTTGAAATCTATTTATTTGATCAACTTGGAAATTTAATACGGAAAGAGATGCTAAGGAAATAATTTAAAAAACGCATCTTTGTGTAATTCTTAGCCCGATTTAAATTTCAAGCGTTTTAATTATTTTCAATTCCAAGTCATGTTTTATAAGGAAAATGATTTCTTTCGAAGTATATGCGCTCGAATAGCCATGGCAAAGCAACATCGACTCGCAAGTAAATTTGCAAAACGTAACTCAATGGATTTTTAAATATTATTTCAGAATTAATGAAAAAAATGGGTATTTTCACTTAATGTTGTCTTAACAAACATTTATTTAACATACACTTTGTTTCCAGATTTTTATACTTCACAACAGCAGGTGTCAAGTGCTGTGTGGCAGCTTTAAAAAGTTAAAAAAGCCCCGTACTTCACTTCAGTGTTGTTATATCTTTCTGGTCCTTCGGGATCAGAAAAATATAACAACTGAATTGATGCTAGCTCTATTAAGTGTTGAGAATTGAGTACCGCTCAAGCCGGTGCTAGCCGGTGCTAGGGGGCGAGAGGGATATTGCACGTATTCATAATCCCTCATGGACAGACTCAATCAAACCGAGTCTGCAATTCTCTTGTAATTATGTTGTGATTAATGCTTCCGAGGGATCACTTTGTTTCCAGATTTTTATATACATACGTTAGATATCATTTTAATGAACAAATTTGGAATAAACAGAGACACAGTTTAGGAGACCATACTAAGCGAGTCGCCAGGCACCGGTATAACTTTTTAAGCTGTGTATGAGTTCCAATATATTTTTGAACAGAAAAGGTTTTGTTAATAGATTTTTGTAATTTTTTTATTTTAAGAAAAGTAAAATGGGACTAAATATTATATTAAATTCCTCAACCGTCAAATTTCATAGTTTATAGCTCATCTGAACTTAAAATGCTAAAAGTGAGATTTTGTGATCACAAATTGTCCGGCGTCTATCACCACTGGGTCAAATTTGATGAAATTTTTCTGGGATGTTCCTAGTAAAGAGCTTTACTAAAATTGGAAAATAGTTTTGCGAAATCAACTGGGTCAGAAGGGGTAATAAAGACCTGTAAATTGAATTCTTTAAAAATCGTCTTCTTTGGAAGTGTGACGCCTAGAGCTTAGATATTTTGTGTGTAGCAACATCTTATAAAACTCTATAGAGATTTATCAATTATAGCCCTGGGGTCAAAATTTGCCTCGCCCAAAGGGGTAATTGATTTTCCTTATGTGTATATGGTAAACCCTTAAAGAAAATGTCTTCGCTGAATTGAAAAAAGCTAGATGTTAGATATTTGGCATGAAACATTATGTTGTGGACCTCTACCAAATTTTTTTGGGGGTCATTGATTTCAATTATATACATATAGTAAAACTTAAAAAAATCACCTGAAGTAAAAAATTGGTCAGAAAGGTCGTTTTGATGATTTCTATGTCAATTTTGAATAAAGAGCATCTTTTGGTAGAAATCGAGGTCACACTGTCTAAAAATGGAAAAAATCTTGTTAACACTCTGCAGAATATATGTATATTTAGTCCAAATACCCTTAAAATTTGAAAACGGGTTAATATGATGCCTTGCTCAATTTCAAATACGGTTTATCTTGGGTCAAAAAGAAGGTCATACAGCCCAAATATTTAAAAACTTAGTAATAACTTAAGAGACTTCTGTTTGGTCAAAATATCCTTGAATTTGGTCAAAAATGTTGTTTTGTTGATTTCTAGCTCAGGGTTGAATGAGGATTATTTTGCAGGCAAAAAATAGGTCACACAACCCAAATATGGAAAACATAGTGAACACTATGGGAACCACTGTTTAAGTCCATAATTTTCTTGAAATTGGTCAGAAAAATTGTTTTTGAGGGTTTCTAGCTCAATTCAAATACGGGACATCAAATCACGCTGCCCAAATATGGAAACAAAACCTTGTTAACACTCTGTGGGCTATTGCTTTTATCCAAATATCTTTGAAATTGGATAAAAAGGTAGTTTTCAGGAAATCAAATTTCTAGTTCAAATTCAAATATGGTTTATCCATGGTCAAAACAAGGTTTCACAACCCTTATATTGGAGAACCTTGTTAACACTGTTTAGGCTACTGTTTTGTTCCAAATATCATAGACATTTATCAGAAATGACGTTTAGATGGTTTCTATGTCATGTATAACTGGGGATAATATGGAGTCAGAAACTAGGTCACGTAGCCAAATTATGAAGAAAAAAAAATGTTTTCATTCTAAGGGTAATGTTTTCGGCCCAAATATCCTAAATATTTCTTAGAAATGTTGTTTTAATGATTTTTTAGCTGAATTTCAAACATGGTTGATCCATTGTCAACATCTAGTTTACACAGATCAAATTATTTTTCATTCTAGATGTTACTTTTCTGGCCATTAATATCCTGATAATTGGTCATAAATGTTGTTTGTATAATTTGTAGCTTAAGTTTGACTTTTAGTCGACTGAGGTAATATCGTTTTTAAGTTTAAAGCATTATATCTTCATTTCAATTCAGAGCCGTCATATTAAAGTGGGAAAAATAATAGCCATCATGGCCCTTTTTTATTATACGAAGTCTAGTTTCATTTCATTGCACTTATATATGCACAAATATTATAAGGATACTTTGACATTTGCGTGTTTTTCCTTTTATACTAGATTCCGACAATCTCCTGGACAATAATCGAACATTTTTAGTGTTACTGACACCATATCAAGGAAAAAATTCAAAAAATCTACAAAACAACATTTTTTTCTTCAAATTTATATGACAGGCCATGTTTAAACATGGAAAAACGCAATTTTGGGTAATATCAAGACTTTTTTAGTATTTTCATCATTTTCTGTTACGTGATATACACGCCTTTTAACGCCTTTCTCACCCCCCCCCTTTTGGTTGTCTCAAATGGTGAAAAAATGCCTAATTTGGGCCCCCAACACTTGTTTTTGTTGAAATGTTGTTAAAAAGTGACCATTTTTCGGCGCGGCCCCCCATCCAAAAGATACATCAGGGGGTTGCCAGAAGGGGGATGTGTCTGTTTGGGGGGTTTGAAGGGGCGGAGTCCCCCTCATCGCCAAGAAAATTTTGGACTTGTGAGAGGCTATAAATGACCCCAGATTGATCATAAGGTAACGTGTAACCAACGCTGAAAAGCATTTGACTCTATCTCAATCCATTAAGAAGTTACAGCACTTTGAAATCAATTTTGATGGAAAAATTAAACGCAAAATAGTGATTTTTGGCAATTTAGAGAAGTCCCCTCGTTGCCATTGTAACAGAAAATTTAAGCCTGAGCATGTTGTTGCAAGGGCAATGGTCCAGTCAATATTTGTGCCAAGTTTGATAAGTGTTGAAGCAGGTTTTATAGTATTATAGCAATTTGAACTTGTAACGGGAGACTTTTCAATGAAAATAGCCATTTTTTCACAAAATACTCATGAAGTAATGGGTTAACATGAACCATTTACGGTCGGCGATCTTTATTATCTTTCTTATCTTTTTTAAACCTTTCCTTTTCTTAAAAGATCTAAATAATTATAATGAAAAATGGGTCCCATGAGTTTTTATGTTATACCAGAAAACCATCTAACGCACAAAATGCTTTTGAAATAAAGTTGTGATTATTTGAATACATGTGATGTTTGCTATTAAAAAACGCAAGATTTTTTTTATTATAGAAAGTCGATAGTTTTTACAAAATTATATGTACTTTGTCTACAAATTGAGTATACCCCACAATGGCCTCAAAACCTACATACGCGCACACTATTCGAAAACACCCATGGTCCTGTCCGGTGCAGGGTCGGAATCCAACATTATAAATTCTGCATTTCTAAAAAAGGACAATTTCGTTAAACAAATGAGTAAAAGTTAATAGATGTTATTTATTTGCATCGGTAAATGTTGTTACATTTTGTTGCACCTTAAATCGAAGGAATTTGTTTATAAAGATTTCATTAGGATCAAAAATTAAAGAAAAATTGTGATTTATTCATAAACAACAATATGAAAATATTAGCTTGTAAATTTGAATAATTTTGTTAGCAAATGTGTGCTTAAAATAAGATTTGTTATATTAAACAGGACAAGAAGTGCTTATACGTAAACAATTACACGTAGATAATGAAGGCGATATCAGGGAATATATGAAAGTTTCACTCAGTTGCGATATAAACATACCAGAAAAAACACCAAGATGGTTCCATAACAGCAAAGAGATCGAGAAAAATAATGAGAGGGTAACTTTCGACTCGTCAGACTGTAAACATAAGTTAATCATTAACAATATTGAGCTTGAGGACAAGGGAGAATATATGGTAGTGTTTGACAGGGTGACATCAAAAACATCAATAACAGTTACAGGTATGATTTCTTTGTTTAACCAACAGTTCCTTACTTCGGCTTTTGAATAAACATATCCTCATTTTTAACTCTGTGTATATTCTTGCTCGTGATGTCAAGCAAAAGAAACAAGTAAATTATTAATGATATACGAGTGTTGAAAGGAAACCTCAGTGAGCAACAACTTACGGAGTCCAGAAGTATTTATTCAAAATTGTTTATAGTTATGCACCGAAGAGACATTATCAAAGCATCTCGAATAACATCTAATTATTTCATAATTCATTTATTTGGTTCTCTGTTAAGGATGTTCAATGTTTATATTTCTAGCTGAATACGTTATTCACATCCTTTTTACATCAAATGTTGGTTTTGTGAATCGTTTTGACATGATCAGGATATCCCTTTTATGTAAGAATCATTTAACATACCTTATTTACATTCTTATCTTGTGGCAATGAAGAGCAGAGGTAGTTTATAGAATACACCGCATACATATGTAAACCTAAAATATTATTAAAATGTATTATTAATACCAAGATATTTCAACAAGCAATTGATTTTAAACGTTCTCCGTGGTGGTTTGTTTTAATATTGTTTGCAAATTTATTCTTACACACTGTCGTGCCATATATACTGAACAAAAAAGAATTTCCCCTGTATATAAGTGCAGATATATACAAATACGAAACTCAGGATTAAAAATATATCTGTAAAGAGTATTTTATTGCGAACTATTTAGTGAAAAAACATTGCTGATTTTTTATCCAAAAGAAGTAAAATGGTTGTTAAAATGCAGAAGGGGCGCCCAACAAAATCACATATTGATATCGGATATGACCCCTGTCGGACTGCCTGACATCGTTGGCGCATAGATCGGATCAGCGTATTAATTTCGGCTTGCGGAATGTTGTTCCAGTCCTGAATTAAGGCTTGTCGTAGCTGAATGACGTTTAAGGCGACGTCTATCACGCTGGTCCAAAATATCCAAAAGTCGTTCAATGGGATTTAGGTCAGGGCTTTTGGCAAGTCAGTCAATAATAAATGCATTTTTATACGCCTTGAGGAAATTCAAGGTGCCCTAGCTTTATGGCTTGTGGCATTATCATGTTGAAAATAGTGATATTAGCAATATTTGAAACAGTTGGAAAACATGCCTCGCAAGAATTTCATCCCACTAGCGGTGGTCATTTAAATTCCCTATACCCTTCAATTACGACGAAATAAGTGTTAGTGTGAACGCCATTTACAATGCCAGCCCAGAGCTTGACAGATTCCCATCCCAAAATCGATCTCGTTCAAGTACGCAGCAGTCTGCATAACGTTTATATCTCCTACAGTTTACTCAAACCATGCCAACAGCTGTTCAATGGGAAATCTCGACTCGTCAGAGAGGAAAACAACGCTTTTCAATTGTTTTCCAGCAATGATACTTACATGAACGTGCCCAATTAAAATCTTTAACATGGCGACGTCGCTTCTAAACATAACCAATGTATGGCCGACTTCCATGTAGCCCACCCTCGTGGAAGTGATTGCGCACAGTTCTGTTCCAAATATCATAGAAATATGTCAGAAATGTTGTTTAGATGGTTTCTAGGTCATGTACAACTAGGGATCATCTGGGGTCAAAAACTAAGTCACGCAGACAAGTTCTGGAGAGAAAAGTGTTTTCATTCTAGAGGTAATATTTTCGGCCCAAATATCCTAAATATTTGTTAGAAACGTTGTTTTAATAATTTCTAGCTGAAGTGGATTCATTGTCAACAGCTTGTTTACGCAGATCAAATTATTGAAAAAGAAAGTTTTCATTCTAGAGGTTACATTTCTGGCTTAAATATCCTGACAATTGGTCAGAAATGTTGTTGGTATGATTTGTAGCTTTAGTTTGACTATAAGTCGATTGAGGTAAAAAAAATGTCACTGCACATAAAAGGCATAACATTTGTACTAATACAGTTGTATATATGAATGTTATGATATCTCTTTAAGTTAATAGAATTATATCTGTATTTCATTTCAGAGCCTTAATAATAAGATGAGTTAAATAAGGACCATCATGGCCCTCTATGTTTTATTATACGAAGTCTTGTTTCATTTTATTGCACTTTGCAAATATTATTAGAAGACTTTGTCATTTGCGTCTTTTTGCTTTTATACTAGATTCCGGTAATCTATTGGACAAAAATCGAACCTTTTTAGTGTTGCTGACACTATATAAACATGAACCATTTACGGTCGGCGATCTTTATTATCTTTCTTATCTTTATTTTATACTTTTCCTTTCTTGACCGATCTGAATATTTTTTATGAAAAGATGGTTCCCAAAAATATTGATGTCGTACCAGAAGACCATCTAACGCACAAAATGCTTTTGAAATAAAGTTGTCATTACTTGAATAAATGTGATGTTTGCTTTTTAAATAAACGCAAGATTTTGTTATAATAGAAAGGCAATAGTTTATACAAATTATGTGTACTTTGTCTACAAATTGATTATACCCCACGATGGCATCAAAACCCACATCCGCGCACACTATTCGAAAACACCCATGGTCCTGTCCGGTTAGGGGTCGGAATCCAGCATGATAAATTCTGCATTTCTTAAAAAAGGGATAATTTCGTTACACAAATGTGTAAAAGTGATTAGATTTATTTGTTTGCATCGGTAAATGTGGTTACTTTTGTTGCACCTTAAAAAAAGGAATTTGTTTAAAGATTTATTCATAAGGATCTAAAATTTTAAAACAAAAATGTTTATCAAAATTTAAAGAAAAATGCTGATCTATTCATAAGCAATATAAAAATATTAGCTTGTAAATTTGAATAATTTTTGCTAGCAAATTTGTGCTTAAAATAAGATTTATTATATTAAACAGAACAAGAAGTGCTTATACGCAAACAATTACACGTAGATAATGAAGGCGATATCAGGGAATATATGAAAGTTTCACTCAGTTGCGATATAAACATACCAGGAAAAACACCAAGATGGTTCCATAACAGCAAAGAGATCGAGAAAAATAATGAGAGGGTAACTTTCGACTCTTCAGACTGTAAACATAAGTTAATCATTCACAATGTTGAGCTTGAGGACAAGGGAGAATATATGGTTATTTTTGACAGGGTGACATCACAAACTTCAATAACAGTTACAGGTATGATTTCTTTGTTTAACCAACAGTTCATTATTTCGGCTTTTGAATATATCCTCCTTTTTAATTCTGTGTATATTCTTGCTCGTGATGTCAAGAAAAAGAAACAAGTAAATTATTGATAATATACTAATGTTGGAAGAAAACCTTTGTGAGCAACAACTTACAGAGTCCAGAAGTGTTTTTTTTTTCCAAAATTGTTTAGAATTAAGCACTTGAGTGAGAAGATTATCAAAACATCTTGAATAACATCTAATCATTACATAATTCATTTATTTAGTTCTCTGTTTTGGATGTTCAAGGTTTATATTTCTAGCTGAAAACGTTATTCACACTGTTTTAACATCAAATGTTGGTCTTATGATTCGTTTTGAGAAGATCAGGATATCCCTTTTAAGTAAAAATCATTTAACATATCTAATTTACATTCTTATCTTGTGACAATGAAGAGCAGAGGTAGTTTATAGAATACACCGCATTCATATGTAAACCTTTAATATTATTAAAAATGTATTATTAATACCAAGATATTTCAACATGCAATTGATTTTAAACCTTCTCCGTTGTTATTTGTTTAAATCTTGTTTGCAAATTTATTCTTGCACACTGTCGTACCATATATACTGAACAAAAAAGAACTTCCCCTGTATTGAAGTGCAGATATATACACATACGAAAATCAGGATTAAAAATAGATCTGTATGTATAGAAAGAGTATTTTATTGCGATTTATTTTGTGAAACAATATTGCTGAGGGTTTATCCAAAAGTTGTGAAATGGTTGTTAAAATGCAGAAGGGGCCGCCCAACAAAATCACATATTAATATCGGATATTGCCACCTTCAGCACGAAGAACTGCCTGACATCGTTGGCGCATAAAACGGATCTGCGTATTAATTTCGGCTTGCGGAATGTTGTTCCATTCCTGAATTTAGGCTTACACGCTGGTCCAAATTTTCCAAAAGGTGTTCAATGGGATTTAGATCAGGGCTTTTGACAAGTCAGTCAATAATAAATGCATTTTTATACGCCTTGAGGAAATTCACTGTGTCTCCAGCTTTAATGGTTGTGGAATTATCATGTTGAAAAGAGTGATATTGGCAATATTCGAAAAAGTGTAAAAACATGCCTCGTTAGAATTCCATCCCAGTAGCGGTGGTCATTAAAATTCTCTATACCCTTAAATTACGACGAAATTAGTGCGAACGCCATTTGCAATGCCTGCCCAGAGCTTGACAGATTCCCATCCCCAAAACGATCTCGTTCAAGTACGCAGCAGTCTTCATTACGTTTATATCTCCTACAATATACTCGGACCCTGCCATCAGCTGATGAATGGGAAACCTTGACTCGTCAGAGAGAAACGAAACCGCTTTACCATTGATGTCAAGCAATGTTGTAATATGTTTGTGCCCAATTAAAATCTTTAAAATGGCGACGTCGCTTCAAAACATAACCAATGTATGGCCGACGTCCATGTAGCCCACCCTCGTGGAAGTGAATGCAGATATACTGTTGAAATTTGTACCAGGGGTGTTAGCAGCAAAAGCTGTGAAAGTTTGGAACGATGGTGCTCTGAATATAGTGGTCTTTGAAACGCGTCATGACGCGCAGATGTCCAATACGTGGTCAATCTTCTGAACGTCCTGTTGCCTAAAAATGTTGCCGAAGGTGTTGAATAACGACGGGAAGCATTTAGCATTCCAATCGCACGTTCGCCTTAATTTTGCGGAATTCAAGGGATACCAATAAATAAAGAAAACTGAAAAACAAAAATCAACGTATTTTTCTTTTTGGCATGAAAGTTTATAGAATTACAACAAAAGGTTTCATAAAATATACACGAAAATACTGGTCCATGCATGCACATAAAAATTGTGGTCAGATGGTTACAAGTTGACATGGAGTTAAAATTTGTTTTATCGGACACAATATCGTTCGCCCGAATATAGACTTTTTAACGACGCGGTTTGTTGCTATGAATTATCGACCGGGAGTACGATTTACTCGCGCATGTGCGATCTGCGTCTGGCAAAAAGAACATCGCCCTACCTTGAAATCAGATAGAAATAAAGAAGTTCATAGACAATTCCGAGTTAAAATGGGGGAAATTATATAAAATAGCTTTAAACAAAAAAACACAAAAGATGCCTTTATAGCTTTCAAGATTCCAATTTCACTAATTCACGATTTCAATCTCATTTATTCACGATTTCAACTTCATGAATTCACGATTTCAACTACATAAATTCACGATTTCAAATTCACGAAATCACGATTTCAACTTCTTGAAGCTGAAATCATGAATTTGTGAAGTTGAAAACATGAATTCGTTAAGTTGAAATCTCATGAAGTTGAAATCGTGAATTCATGAAGATGAAATAGTAAGTTCCTGAGTTCCGTATGTTGAAAACGGGAATTAACGAAGTTAAAAGTGTGAATTTGTGAAGATGAAATCGAGAATTTATGAAGTTGAAATGGCCCTACCGGTCTTTCGAAAATGACACACATTTTATCCGGTTCCTCGTAACACATGCAAATGCACGTCTCACTGTTTGTCACCTCACAACTTCAATACACATTGATGAGATTTGTATATTTAAAAGTTACTAAAAGTACATTTTCGTAGATGTACATGATTAACTATGTCATGGTACTTAAACGTCCCGGTTGAATGATATTGTAAACTAGCTAGAAACATACAACAGGTCCCGTGTCAATCTGTTTGACACTTACCGTCTTGTCAATCCACTTATTCAAAGGAAGTGTAAAATATAAATTGTGTAATATTATGTAATATAGGCGTAATAAAATTTTATCTTTAACACCCTGCTGTTCCAATTTAAATTACTGATGAAAAAGTCGTCTAATGATACCTTAAACAGTGGACTTTTATATGCGCATACGCGAAATGCAACATCGGTTACTATGAAAAAATCGTAGTGTAAAAAGGTCTATATGTAGCTCATTTGACATTTTGATTTCTTTAAAATAACACTATATCTCAACTTAAAAGACAGGGGAAATTCTGTTTTGTTCAGTATATATGTTGCACTGTACGGGCAACGTGGCCTTATGGAATTTGAGTTAAAAACTTATCAAACTTTGGAGTATTAATATTTGGTATATGTATGTCCTACCAGAAGTTATAATAATTTTCAAACAGGTTGTACAGATATAACAATAAAGCAGCAGATAAAGGAGGAAAATTTACAAAATTGGGTAAGAGGAGTACTTGCCCTAAAATACGTCAAGCTAGGACTGGAGTTACCTGTTGAGATTGCTGTAAAAAATCATCATGAACAGATTTTAAAGGCTTTACCAAATACTGTCTCAAATAAATGTTCAGAATGCAATAGCGAAAATCTCTTACCTTCGCATGAAAAAAAACAATGTCCAAGAACCTTGAACAAGCGTAAATGTCTTTGTTCAAGAAATGCATACTACAGACGACTATGTCCAAACAATAACTTGTGTAGTGATATTTATGAAAAGATAGTTCACGACCACCGTTACGAGGACCCAGCGTTAAATAACACAAGCATGGGCAAGTGGAGCACCGATCCATGGAGTATAGCAGCTTGCTACATAAGTAATACAAATTCCACCTATACATCAGGGTCGGAGCATAAGAAATCATCAAAGGACCTGGAATGTGCAGAACTGCTGTCTTTGTTCGTCAATAATAAAAAATACCTTAAGAACACAAAATTTGGCGTTTTTGATACGGTAAAGTTTTATTTGTTCCACTTTTTATTATTATTATTTTGATTATGTGTGTGCGTGCTTGGCTTGTGCGTGTGTGTTTGGCGATTTTTGTAACTCAACTTATTTGAAATATTATCTAACATTCTGTTCAAGCAAACCATATGTTTTATTTAAAAAGTTTTTGTTTTTCATCATTTCCATATGCCATACCATACTAGAATATATTGAAAGGTAAATTCTAGATACTGTTACATTTTTTCCTGAATGGTATAACTTAGACTAGAGGGCCTATCAAAAACATGCGGGCACTTGTATATTTTATTTAACATTTAATTTTTGTCAATATATAACGTTGTGAATAAAATGCGAAATCCGTATTCGATGCAATTGCGTGAAAATACTACTTCCGGTGTGACCTGTGAAGGAGCAACGTGCTTATTTTAAATTTAAGCTAAGCTATCCCTAATATGAAGCTGCTAAGGAATCGGGTATAAATTCCAATGAGAGCCATACGTGACACAAGCGTTATAGGAACCACGGCTGATAGACACTGGAAGATAAGTCCAGAATGGAAAGGCCGAAAACATAAAAGATTAGCGCTGATGGATTTCTGTACTTTTACGTCTCTTTCAATAGAAATGCGCGGTCATAGGTATCATGATAATCTTAAATATCTGCGTGCGAAACGCGATTTTAGCCAGGTAAATAGCTGATTGGCATGTCATCATGTACCACAAACGGGTTTTGCGGCACTATGTATGAAGAAGATCGATGCCTACGCAGAGAAATTTAATGGACTGACGTTGTTAATGTCATGTTATGTGATCTGAGCGCGCCGTTTGGTGACGAGTAGTTCGTTATAAATCGATATAAATGTCATAAGAACAATAAAATATTTATTTCGAAAGGTAACATGTAAGTTTACAAAGTATATAAAAACTTATTTATATAAAACTTATTATAAACTTATTTTCATATGGCCTAAGAGAAGTAAAAAAAATAATTATTAATCACAATAATAAAAAGAAAAGTTAAGTAAAGAAAGGGAAAAAACGAATGACAAACAGAACCTAAAAAGCAACAGTATCATTTATCAAAAAAGTTAAATAATAAAACCTCTATTCATAGATCTTTTGGTTTAATAAATAAATTGATACATGTAGTTATTTTGCAAAACATTCTGCGACAGACACTCATCATAAATATATATATGATAAACTATTTTAATAATTATCCATTAGAAAGCGTTAATATTCATATTTGACGAACTGTAGTGAGGTACTTGGTTTTATCCTTACGGAATATAATTATACATGTATTATTCCTATTCTCATATTGTTGTAATTAAATGTATCTTTGAAATAAGCCTGCTTTTCAACACAAGATCGTTATGTATAGTTGAACGGAGCGTATAGTTCTCCTGTTTAGAAAACAAAATAGAATCTAATCCAGCTTTATGTTAAAATTATAGTTTTGTAACGACCGATTATGGTTTCAATACAAGCAGATCATTTTTAAATAACATATTCAATTACAATGTGATTACTGTTTTCACTCTTTTAAGGCTCGGAGGCACAGAAACGAGTTAATGCATAATGCAAAGTATGAAATATCCCATGAAAAACTCAGTGAATATTTAAAAGACTTCAAAGATGTTTTGGAGGTCATAGATAATTCGAACGAAACGGTTTTCACACATGATGAAGTCAGACAAGCTTTGAAAGCCATCAGTGATGTAAGTTTGTTTTGCTGTGTTTTTATCTATTTTGTTATTTCTCTGGCTTCATGTTATCATTTATTTTTATTTATTCTGATTACCGTTCCAGCGATAGTGGGCTAAGATATATTTCAACTTTTTAGTTTTCATAAACAGGCACGGTCAGATTTCGCAATTGTAATATTTTTACTTATGTCACGAAGAATTTTTTTTACACATTTTTCAGGCATTTTTTCTCTGTTTAATTCAATAATATTTATTTTTCCTCTTTTCTTAAAAATTTAATGCAATTGCTAAATAGAAGAAAAATGTTAAAACCTACCAAAAGGCAACACAATGAACTGGTTCGATTTGATTAAGCTTTTTCACGGAGCGCAAAATACCGTCTCTGATTCCTTTCAACATTTGAACATTAGTATGATGAAAAATCTGATTAAAAAAAATTCAAGATGTGCCAAATACGGTTGTGATCTTAGAACTTTCATGTACCTTTTCGATATTTTTCATTTTAATTTCTTCCATGTCAGTAACTACTCTCTTGTAAAAAAGTTTGAAAGTTGTTTTTTGCGTTAATTGCGTTTTTAAATTCTAATTTTAGTAGTGATATGTAATTGTCAGATATTGTGTACTTTTATATGAATGAACATGTTTCCTCATATTTCAAAAAGAAAAAAGTTAACACAGTAAACATAATTTAATGTTATATTTTTTTTCAAATCAAAAACCTTGTAAGTAACAGGTGTGAAAAACAATGCGAAATAGATCTGCCACGAAATGATGCTTGTTATTAGTGCGTATTTTGCCAATTTCCAGAAATATCTAATTCAAAACACTTTTCACGAAATTTCATCATTTAACAGTATCATTTAAACGTGATGAACTCTTGTTAATAGTTTATAAAACTTGCAAATAAATATTAATTGATATACTAAGTGGTAAGCTATATTTAAATGTTACGACATTGTCATTTGCACGTTGCACCGTTTCTTGTTAATTGCACAATCTCAGTAATTGTGTGCACCAACATACATATTTCATTTTGCGGAAGCATGATTGTCGCACTTTTGACACAATGAAACGCGTGTTCGTTTGTTTGATGTTACGGCGCACTAACACAATTATAGTTATATGGTACCAAAACAGGAAAGAAGATTTTGGCTAAACCCACATACCTAAAGCCACAGGAGGACTCAAAAGACCTCACTTTAGCTGGAGTTAAGAGATGTATAGACTCCGATAATTCGAACCGATTCAGTCATGGTTTGTGATGATGCAGGGATAAACAGTGGCTGCAGTTCTGATGTCTCGACCCTTTCAGGCAACCCCTCAGTCATAAGGGGGTTAGTCCGGAGGAAAGTCCTCCTGACGTACGCGCGTATATTAGAAATATTGTTTGATGTAAATGTTAGTTTTTCCAACAACGGTCGTTTTCAGTTTTGTTAAAAATAAACATATTAAGCAGAATGAAAACCGTAAAATAGAAGTTACTTAAATGTTTAATGATCATAGAATATAAAAAGAAACATGTTAACCGAAACCAAATGTGGGTCATCTGATCTTTTCGAGTTGTTTGACCTTGAATTAAGTGTTTTGTTTATTTGAATCTTAATTCAACATTAGCAACGCATTAATTTCTACTTTCTTTGTTAAGCTCGGTCAGTACGTCATTGGCTTCTTTTTCCATCAATCACCTGAAAAGGTATGAACCTTTATTTATGTTCCTTTGTAAACACATTGACAATTATCAGTAGATACCCTATTAGTTTTGAGGTTAATGGGTCAAAGGTCAAGATAGCCGTTGCATTAACCAGTAAAAGCTTGTCCGACCAACACAAGCAGACCACATTGGCCGACAGTCTTAACAGTGGTGCAGTTGTTATGAATGACTAGTTAATCACCCTTATTGATTTTTAGGTTATTATGTCAAAGCTCCGGGCACCATAGACTTAACTGCTTAGAGTGTTCACAACAATAATTAGAAAACTAATTTAGAAAAAGCCGTTTGACCTACAATTATATGATTTTGTGTGAATGTTGGTCCTTTTGAGCTTAATAGGGCAATGCTAGAAAGGTTAAGCCATGATCACTTACATACTGTTAGATTAGTGATTGTTTTGGTCTACAGTCCTTATTTAAGTGTTGAGGTTAGTCCTCCTGATTAACTGATAAATGAACCCTTTTGATTTTGAGATCTAAACTAAATACGTAAAATGTCACAGTGGCCTTGACAACTAATATTTTACTCCGACCAATAACCAGAGAACGCTTTGACATGAATTCCTAAATGTCATTGGTTCAAAGGTAAAGGTCACTAGACGGAATAATGACCAAGGATCAAATAAAACTCAATAACTAATAAAAATTATTTCGAAAACAAGCTCAGTGACCCACAATTTGTTTTCGCTTTATATATTTTTATTATCGACTTGTAAGATCGCGCAAAGTTTTAGTAAATTCTATCATAGAGTTTTCATTCTTCCTAAATGTCTAGAGATGTAACTGTAGCATACTCATTTACATCAAATGAAAAAGACACTTGGCTGATTTTGATCTTTAATTACTATAACTTCTGTCTGATGCAGAAATAAGTCACTGGAACTAAAATACATTTCAAAAGTACATTATCTAAAACTTTTCTTCTCTGACAGCGCAATGCGTTTTCTACGAAATATAGCATCGTCTAATAGGTTTCTACCAAGTCTGTTTAAATATTGATGTCCGGTTAAGATTGGCCTGCCCTTGGTTCCTCTCTATAAAAAGAGAAACAAAACTTGATAAAAGCTCCCATAAATCTACAAAAGCTAGAGGTAAGATCTTTGGTATGACATTGCCTACCTGTTTCAAGTTTGTTTCAAGTATTTCATTGGAGTAAAAAATTAGCTCTACATTGGGAATAACGATTTTAATTTCAAAAGTAATTTTTATCTTTCTGAACCTTCAAAGACAAGATATTGGATATTTGGCATGGAATATACAATGTCTCGTGGAGTGCTAGCAAGATCAAAAATTGGCTTCGCGCTGTGGTTAATTTGTCATACGCGCAAAATCTTCTATTCAAAACTAGCAAATGCTAGAGCTCTTATATTCGGCAAAAACATTGTTTACTGGGTCTGTTTAAAATTTGATCATCAATAGCTCTTGAGTCACAATTTACCAGGCCCGGGGTTCATGATTTTTTCTTTTTCTTATTGTAAAAATAAAATGGAAAATTTTCCATTGACTTTTCTGAGCAATCAGCCACGTCCATAGAAATTATTGATTTCCAATCCAACCATTGCTGTTATTAAACAAACAATGACTATTATTGTCGCAAATAACTTTTGTATACAACCGTTTTCAAAACTTTTGTATTGATTTTTTGGTTTTGGTGGTTTTATTTAGGTTGCGTTCATTGATCGCCGCCTTTCCTTGTTGATCTTATTTATCATATTTTACCACTATGTTGTGTTCCCTCTTTATCTTTGTTTGATTGTGTTATGGACCTATCAACATTATTTAAAGACGCTTAGACGATTCCGATTGAGATAGATGATGTCCTTCTAATAAATTTTCTATCAGACCGTGTTATAGTTATGTATTTTTAAAGTATATATTATATACATGTTTTATTTTTATTGTTATATTTTCTTGATACTTTACCTTTATTTCCAGCTTTAGATTACGATTTTGGTTTGGTGTATCATGTCGTGATACATTATTTTCTTAAAAAATTATTGTACATTTACCATAGACATATTATAACATTATAACATTGATATGGAAAAAGTATCGCAACACTTCATTATTTCTTAAATGGCATTTGGCTAGTTGAGCTGAAGTTTTATGGAAACCATTTGACAGTCTTATCATGTATTTTGTGTATAAAAAAAATGTAATGATTCTAGAGTTTCATTAAATTTCTTGAAGGAAATATGCAAAAATGGACCAGATCATTCATGATTATTTGTTTACTTTCCACGGAAACAGCACGAAGTTAAGTAATAATCATAACTTATTCACCCGATCCTTAACAAATGATCTAAGAATAAAAACAGAAAGGAGTTGACTCACAGATGATTTTAGGCATATGGTGTGTTTATAGGACGACATGCATGAGGTCTTACATCATCATAGAAAATACAAATTGACGAAACCACTGGACTATACAGACAAATTCCAATGGCAGGAAGTTATGCTTCTTTGTCAATACGTGTAACAAATTATGTCTGATAGCAAGTTAGTCGAGTTATTCATTTGATGTGAATCAATTTCCCGCGAACATTCAACGAGACAGCTACATTCTCTCTTGAAAACATCATTATTCATGAAAGGAATACGTTTTGTAACCTTCAATACATTTCATTTCCTCAGTCGACCCCTTAGAATAACATTATCTTACTCTTGTACATTCCTGGATTAAAGGTTGATTGTTAGTAGATAATGACCCATTGTGACTGAGGGGTTGCCTGCATTATAATTGCAGCCACCTTTGAACCCTGCGTGATCGAGGCGACAAAATTTGTTTGAATTACTGGAATCTATGCATCTCTTAGCTCCAGCAGGTGAGGTGGTTTAGAGCCCTGGTATTGAACTATTGATGTCAAAAATAATTGGAATTAAAACGGGTGCATCTTTCCATGTCTACATTTGACTCTTTTCATATTTGTCTTTTTGTGGGAAGTATTATACTTGCAATGTTCATGTGAGTAAAACATGACTGTATGATTGAGACCAAGTTTCTATGTTTAATCGCATGTATTTACTTCGTTAATAACTTCATCCATGGGAAATTTTATGCCTATTTTCTTGAATTAAAATGTATTCTTATTTGTAGTGCTATATGTCTTAATCATTCTATACATGCAAATTAACTGCATGTTTACTATTGATAAAGATATAGTGTGCTTGATATATTTGTTAGCACTTTTAAATCCGTTTATTTCATATTCTGTTTTTCACAGCTACAAAACTATCAAATTGATATAAACACAAGAGAGGAAATAGAAAATATGAAGAAGGATAGTCGAGCCAAAGCCATGGTGGAATTTACAGAGAAACTAGAACATGCTTATAGTCAGGTATAAACAGCACAAAGAATATGTTTAATTAACGCCATGTGATTCTAAAAAACTTTGTTTGACTGTTTAATTCAATATTTGTACTACTATTGAGGGTTAATGTTTGGTTTCTATTTTGATGTTACTTACTATACTTACAACGTCTTTTAATATCCTTTATAATATCTGTAAACGTTCTCATGTTCATTTTGAAAGGCAAAAGTATATAATTTAGTTTTTCCAAGAGATCACATAAAACGTAAAACCTTTAGCGCTTTTCTACTAGAAATAATCCAAGTAATGAATGCAAATTTATTCAGGGGCACTATTGGGTTTGCCTTCATAGATACATTCACCTTTATTCGTTAAACTGAATGCATTGGACTCCGAATAAGCTAATTTCAGAGCTAGTAAGGACGTTTACATTTCGTCAAACATATTACCAGAACTTATATTGCTGCCTTGGCGCTTTGATTATTTTTTCCGGTTCAGACTTTTAGCTCACCTGAGCTAGCTCAGGGTGGGCTTTTAGGATTGTTGAATGTCCGTCGTCCGTGGTCTATCGTCCGTCGTCCGTCGACCGTCCACACTTGTTCATTAAGACTCTAGCGGTCACATTTTTGTCAGGATGCTTGTCTATGTAATTACCTATGTTTCATCTCGGATGAAAAACCAGGTCAGACGTGCTTAAAATAGAAAAAACCTAGTTAACACTCTAGTGGTCACATTTTTGATTGAATCATCATCAAACTTTATCAGGGTACTTGTCTAGATAATTGCTCGGATGAGTTTGACATGGGTCATCTCGGATGAAAAACTCGGTCACAGGAGCTCAAAATAGAAAAATCTTGTTAACACTCTAATAGCTACTGTTTTGATTCAAATATCTTGGAAATAAGTCTGAAAGTTTGTTTTGATGATTTCTAGGTCAAGTTCGAATATATGGGTTACCTGGGGTCAAAAACTAGGTCACACCGCCAAAATATTGAAAAACCTTGTTAACACTCTAGTGGTAACATTTTGACTCGATTGTTATCAAACTTGTTCAGGATGCTTGTAATCTAGGTAATTGCTTATATGAGTTCGAACATGGGTCATCTCGATTGAAAAATAAAGTCACAGGAGCTAAAAATCGTAAGATATTTTTAACACTGTAGTGCCTACTGTTTTGATCCAAATATCCTGGAAATTGGTCTGAAAGTTTGTTTTGATGATTTCCAGGCCAAGTTCGAATATGGGCGTAAAAGACTAGGTCACACCGCCCAGATATGGAAAAACCCTTGTTAACACTCTAGTGGTCAAATAAGTCAGGATGCTTAACTAGATAATTGCTCGGATGCAGTCGAACATGGGTCATCTCGGATGACAATCTAGGTCACAGGAGCTAAAACTAGTGGCTACTGTTTTGATCCAAATACCCTGGAAATTAGCCTAGGTAATTGCTCAGATGAGTTCGAACATGAGTCATTTTGGATGAAAAACTAGGTCACAGGAGCTAAAAATAGAGCAAAAACCTTGTTAACATTCTAGTGGCTGCTGTTTTGATCCAAATATCCTGGAAATAAGTCTGAAAGTTTGTTTTGATGATTTCTAGGTCAAGTTCGAATATATGGGTTATCTGGGGTCAAAAACTAGGTCACATCGCCCAGATATGGAAACACCCTTGTTAACACTCTAGTGGTCAAATTAGTCAGGATACTTGTCTAGGTAATTGCTCGGATGCATTCGAACATGGGTCATCTCGGATGACAATCTAGGTCACATGAGCTAAAACTAGTGGCTACTGTTTTGATCCAAATACCCTGGAAATTAGTCTGAAAGTTTTGTTTGGTGATTTCTAGGGCAAACTCGAAAATGGGGCACCTGAGGTCAAGAACTAGGTCACACCGCCCAAATATGGAAAAACCTTGTTAACACTCTAGTGGTCACATTCTTGACTTATCAAACTTGGTCCGGATGCTTTTCTCGGATAAGCTCGAACATGGGTCATCTCGGATAATAAACTAGGTCACAGGAGCTAAAAATAAAAAAAATCTTGTTAACACACAATGGCAACTGTTTTGATCCAAATATCCTGGAAACTGGTACGAAAGTTTGTTTTGATGATTTCTAGGTCAAGTTCGAGTATGGGTCACCTGGGGTCAAAAAATAATTCACAACCCCCAAATATGGAAAAACCTTGTTAACACTCTAGTAGTTACATTTTTGACTCAATTGCCATCAAACTTGGTAAGGATGCTTGTCTAGGTAATTGCTCGGATGAGTTTGAACATGTTCTATCGCGGATGAAAAACAAGGTCACAGGAGCTAAAAATAGAAAAAGCTTGTTAACAATCTAGTAGCTACTGTTTTGTTACAAATATCCTGGAAATTGCTCTGAAATTTGTTTTGATAATTTCTAGGTCAAGTTTGAATATTGGTCACCTGGGGACAAAATATAAGTCACACTGCCCATATATTGAAAAACATTGCTAACACTCTAGCGGTCAAATTTTTGACTCAATTGTCATCACACTTGTACGTACGGTGTTCTTTTAGTTCAATCGGCTGTGGATGGAATAATATACGATTAATGTCGAAAACACGGATTGACGAAGACGAAACGCAAAAAAAACCATAAAAACAATGATGAAAATTAGCAATCGGAAAACCTCAGCTATTATTCATAATAACTTCGGACTAAATGAGTCAGACAAAATAAGTGTTGAAGCACCATACTAAATGCCGTATACACCGGACAATGCGCTTGAATGATCCAATACGCCTTATTCATCTGTTCACGCCGATTTATATTCGATAATTATTGAAAAATGTTGAAACTGACATAAAAGCGATATTTTTTCTATTTTGTGATCATAATTTTTTATAAGCATCAGGTGGAACTGTTCCAACGCTGCAGTGAGTTTTTTTCGGATTCAATTCGGATTTGAAATGGTTCTACCACTTGATTTTAGAGGTTTATCTATTTTGGTAAAATTATGATTGAATATATGTCTTACAATCATTTTCAATTTAAAAATGACCACTGATGTACAACAATAATCAAATCCGAATAGATGTCAACATTTTATTTTAATTTCGGTCTCTACAACCATTATAAGAAGTATATTAAAATGTATAACTTACATTTATGTCTATAAATTTACGTTGACTTTCAAAGGATATATTGGAATAAACCTTATCAATCACTCTCAAAAATAAATTATCATTTGTTTACATGTAAATATTGTTAGCCTTGGTTTTGTGTATTCTTTGTGTATTTTGTGTTCGAGGTCCTTATCCGCAGTTTGACAGAAAGAACTTTAAAATGAAAAGATACGATGACGAAAACACGAAAACTAGTCATATTCTAGACGATAATTATCGAGTTTTCGTCTTCGCATCTTCCCATCTTTTTTCATCGTTCTTTTGTGTTTACACGTTTTCGTCTTTATCCCTTGTGTTGTCACCGTTTGGATTGTTCGCGTTTTCGTCTTCGTACGTTGGTGTTTTCGCCTTCCGGTACATGTCAGTTTAATCATTTAAATGGACATTGATTGCTCGCTGTCTGACAAAAGATATTCTATTATCATCAACGAGTCTTGACATGAATATTACATTAATTATGTATTTACTATTTAATGAATTGACTTGGTATATTTAGTATTTTTAGAGTTATTTCCCTTGACTTAATAAATATTTGCAATTTTCTACTTGTGTCGCACGTAACTCAAAAAGTATTTGACCTAGAGTCATGAAACCTTACAGGAATGTTGCTCAGCATGTGAAGTTGTGCACCTGGATATTTTTGTGTGGATATTTTAAGTACTTTTAGAATTATTTCCATTGACTTAGTAAAAATTTACATTTTTTTCATGCATAGCTCAAAAAGTATTTGACCTGTAGGCCTGAAAGTTTACAAGAATGTTGGTCAGCATGTGTACTTATGCACCTTGGGGTTCGCTTTTGGATTTTTCAGTATTTGTAAAAGTTCTAGCCCTTTACTTAGTAGAAGATTTTTAGTTTTCAACTTGTGGCACATGTAGCACGGAAAATATTTGACCTAGAGTCATAAGATTTACAAAACAGTGGAGTGTTAGAACCCCAGCAACATTCTGATGGGCCAGTGGCCATTCAATTTTACCAGTGATTGAATGACATGAATGAACCTAAATCTTTTGAGTCTCCCTGCCGCCTAGTAAGGAAATTATGTTTATACAACCTAGTCATATTATTACGATGTGGGATTTTAAAGTAAATCCTACAAGGAATGAAGAAGTTGGAGTGAAAAATACCAATTTCTCGAAAAAAATCTAAGTTCAAGGGGGACATAATTCTGGAAATAGTCTTGCTAGAGTATTTAACCTTCTCAAAAATGTTGAGTGATGATAAGAAACATATATATGAAGTTTGAAGTAGAAACATTAGGAAATAAAGAAGTTATTTAAAAAAGACAACTTTTTTTTCAAGTTCAAGAGAGGTAATACTGATAATTTTTGTGCTAGAGTTGTAAACCTTGTCACATATGATGTGGTTGATGACCAGAAACTTATATTTAAAGTTTTAAGTAAACACCTTAAGCAAAAAAGAACTTATAGTGAAAAAGCTGAAAAATTTAAATCAGAAATCTTGAAATTCAGGCTATTTGTTGCTATAGCAACCAGAATTTTCATCATAGGAAGAAAAGAAAAAAATGTGCATAATCTCCAGACTGCCATCTACCAATATTTCATGTTTCATAAAAATATTTTTAGTACTTTTTGCGTTATCGCGGGATCCAGTTTTGTGGACGGACGGAATGATGGACTGACAGACAGACAGACAGACGGACGGAGGGTAAACCTAAAGTCCCCTCCGGTTAAACCGATAGGGGACTAAAAAAGCTTGTTCATTTGTTAAGCAAAATGTCCTGTACATGCGGGAAGGCGAAAATACAAAAACTCGAAAGTTCGAAGACGAAAACACAAAAGAACTAAACTGCAAGAACACGAAAGAACGAAAACACCAAAGTATGATGATGAAGGAGAAAAGGCATGATGACGAAAAAGCGATAATTATCGACTTGAATTTGATGAGTTTTTCTGTTTTGTCTTTTTTGTCTTCCAATCTTCGGCGTCCTTCTTTCGCGCGTTTTCGCTTATTTGTATTTCAGCGTTCTCGTCCTCATTTTTTTTCGCGTTTATAAACCAAATATTTTGTGTGAATTTTAGTTAAAGTAAATGATTTAAGTGGTCGTAGACAATATCAGATATAATTTGCATGAAAAATCTTGACAAAAATGGTTTCTTATTTACACAAATAAAATAGAGAATAACAGAGTCCCTAACGAAAGTCCAACACAACAAAATTGAAAATGTTGCAGGCTCGGTTTGATTAAGCCTGTTCATAAACGGTACTAGAAAGTGCAAGTTACCGTCCACGCCCCCTAGCACCGGCTTAAGCAGAATTCAACATTCAACACGAAAATGGATAAATTTTGGATTTAGAAACATCCGCAGATGTGTTCATACGGCGGTTATCATGGAACCTTCAATGTGAAAAAAGTAGTGTTATTTCATGAAAAGCGGAGTATGGTCCCCAAGTAAAAGAATACTTTTGCCCTAAACGAGAAAAAAATAAGCGGAACTAAATAAAATGGAATTTTGAAAGGGGTCTGAGGCTATGAAGCCTGCATATTACAGAAAAGACGTCAAAAGACACATTTGAAAAGCAGGCAACATATCCTAAGGGTGATTATACAGAAAAAACATTCAAGTAGAAATACTGGAACCACCCAAGTTGAAAATGGCCAAATAGAAGAAACTTAAAGTACCACATAACATGTATACACAACAAAAAATGTCGTGCTGAACGATCTACACGGATTGAAAACTTTCTGAGATTCTCTAATCTGTATAAGTGTTATATGTCTTGGTCAATTTTTTAAATTGAGTTAAATCTTTATCCATTAATGCAACAGTGTATTGGCTAATATATTTTTCATACAATATGGTGTCTTTTATACTGACTTATTTTCTTTTCTTGTCTTTCCAAAATATCTTCGGTAGATATCCAATTAGTAATTTTGATAAAAAATGTTGAAGCAATTTAATAATACTGCTTTTCTTTTTTCCATATAGATCCGACTATTCAGAGAAAGCTTAAATGGTAAGTATAAGTATGTTTTTGTCATGTTTAGAATTTAATTAAAGAGCATTTCTTTTGCAAAAACACCAGGTGTTTTTAAAGTGGGTTTTGGTTTATACAAATTTATTTTAGTTCGTTTGTGTTGGAAGCTATAAGCTTATTGAAACACTCTCGAATCCGTTCCTGCAACCAACCAGTACTAAGCAATGAATGTAAAGTTTCTTGCTCAAGGAAACAACGGCTTGCCCCTGTCAGGGTTTGAACCCACGCGGTCAGCAATCCTTAGATTACTAGTCCGACGCGTTAACCACTTGGTTATGCCGCCGCTTAGTGGGTTTTGTTAACCATGTCCTTAATTATTAAGTATATAAAAGATTTTCCGTAGAGAGACATATAGTAGAACAATCAGTACGTTCCTACTGGGCACAGATATGTGTAACCATAGAAGCAATTTGGATTTAAACTTTAGACCACTTTCTGACTTAAGCAAAAGGTCATAGTTATGTCAGCTGTTCTGCTGTTGTAGCCATTCCTCAACAGTAACAACCTCTTTAATGCACTGTAAAAATAGTAAAATTAATATAGCTAAATAATTTCGCATTATGGATAGCTCTGATCAAATGGTTAACAGAATAGAAAGGGTAAGTCCAATATGCTTGCAAGTGATATAACTAACTCGGGTTCTTAAGATGTCATTTGCAACGTAAATACTGACTAACGATATTCAAATATACATGTAGATTGATGTCAAACTGATCTTTCATAATTAACTGTACATAATTTCACGACCTCTTCATGATCTGTAACAAAGTTTGCAAATTGCCAGAATTGTCGCCTAAAGCAGTTTCCACACAATTTGTTTCTTATACCCTTCTCTAATATTCCTTTAGCGACAAATTTGGTAGGAAGATTTTGCCATTCTACTGGTCAAATGCGTTAGTCTTTTATTCTTAAAAAGTATCATGTCTTTTAAAATTATTTCTTAACCTGGTATTATATGTGTCCAGATAGCAACAGTTAAATAAGATTAAATGTACATGGTTTTGTTGTTTCTTTTTTTTTTAAATTAATTAGTACTTATATTGAATTTAGTAATATGATTACATGCATATCTTCAACTATATCATCTTTATGTTAACATTTATTTAGTTTGTATATGCTTTCAATAGTTTATGTTGTGTTTAAACTCTTCTGTAAGCCTTGAACTGGAAAACTTTCTACAGATTCCATTGATATTTTGATTAATCCATGAATGTATGTTTCTTTTTCGTTTAGAAGAAACCAATAAGACGATGAGCATTATGTGTAAGAAACATGATGGTACTATAAGCACATGGCTTTGCATAGATCATGCAATCTGTTTTTGCAAATCTTGTATGGAAAAAGAACATAGGTAATTAATCATTTATGAGAACATACATTTACTTTATATATTTAAACATGAGTAACAATCTGATCTTACATCACATAGGGGAGATTATGAATGAAAAGCTTAATGCTTCACATAAAATGGTAGATTAATTTATCTAGATCCATTCTAACATAAAGGTTTGTTTTCCATTGGTGTTAGCAATAAAAATTGTTTAAAAAGAATTCAAACTGTTTTTGTTAACTAAGGTAATACATAAAGGACATCGCGTTTAAGAAAATTGTACCACGAATAGTTTAAGATACGAAAGAGTGAAGACGAAAACAATAAAGGACGAAGACGAAATGCAAAAAAAAGGACAAAAATGCAAACATGTAAAAGTACTTTAATGAAAATGTGCACACACAGTGTCAAGAACTCGATAAATTCACATCGATAATTATCGCTTTTTTGTCTCCGTGATTTCGCATCGTCATCGTCGTACTTTCGTGTTTTCGTCTTTGCTCGTTTGATATTTTGCCCTTTTGTTACAATGTATTTTCCGTTTTTTTTGTTCGCATTTTCGTATTTTCGCCTTTCGGTATATGTCATTTTAATTATTAAGAGGGTCTTTGATTTAAATCTGTCTACAACAGTAAAATGACAAAGATTATTATATTTTATATATTATCATCAAAGGGTTTAGAATATTTTGAATATTTGAATGTTAAGCAATTTCGTGTTAAATTTTTAATAATTAATTTTATTCTAAATGTTGGCTTCATTTTTAGCTTACCTGAGCACAATGTCTTGTCTTACGGAACAAGGCTTAGAGCTTAAATATTCTAGACATAATATCATATTAGGGGAGGGGGGGACATCTAACTGTAAACAGAATAAAAGAAAACAATAGAGTTCATTGCTTAACAATATAGTGAGGGGCCATTAGCCCTCTTGAATTTTCGCTTGTGGGATTTCAGTTAAACTTCACCTAGTGACACTTTTGTGCCCCTTGTTGTTTTCTCGTCTACGGTAAGTATCTTTCCCTTGGCCCCTAGTTTTTATTTCCTTCATTTACTTTATTTACCCCCAATCCCTTCCTCGGGTCCCCTGTCCCCTTCCCCTGTGCCCTTTGACTTTATGGGCCTATTATTCAATCATTCATTTGTTTTCTTTGAGTTCCTTATCAGTTACTAATTATTTCTTCTTATGTATTATGTTTGTGATTAACCAGCCCATGCTCTGCCTTGTGCCCTGTCCTGTTTTTGTTTTGGGTCATCCTGGGCTTCTTGCCACTGGCATTTGTTGCTGGATCTTGTGGGGGTTGCGTTCATTGAACGCTGTCTTTCCTTGTTGATCTTTTTTATCATATTTTACAGGATTGTTTACAATAAGACTAGTTGTGCATACTCTCTTTATATTCTACCTGATTCTTTGGCACAGTACTCCCCCCCTCCTAATGGTTCATTTTCAAGTAAAGTAAGCATGTTGGCGCTTCATCACCAAAATCGTTGGGGAATTTAGAAAATTTCACGGGATTGTTTGTCATCAAGCCTAGTTGTACATTATTTCTTGATATTCTGCTTTAATTCTTTGGCACAGTTATGCCCCTTAATGTTCTTTTTTCTGGTAAAATAAGCTTGTCCATGCGATATCTCCAAAACCACTGGTGGATTTCACTAAAACTCCAAAGAAATTATTGTCACCATGCCTAGTTGTGCATAGTGTCCTAATTTTGCTCTACTTTTTTGACACAGTTATGGTCTCTTGATGGTCATTTTCGAGTTCAAAGCTTGTCCCCCTTAATGGTCGGTTTACAAGTAAAGTAAGCTTGTCCAAGCTTCATCTCCAATACCTGGTGAAAGTTCACAGTATTTCTTTGTCGCCATGTTGTACATAGTCTCTTGATTTTCTACTTGAATTGTTTTTTGGCACAGTTATGAACCCTTTATGGTCAAGAATGAAGTAGTCTTGTATTCGCATTATCTCCAAAGCCACCGGATTGTATGTCACCAAACCCAGCTGTGCATACTCTCTTGATATTCTGATTTTTTGGCATAGTAATGGCCTTTAATGGTCTATTTTTGAGTACAATAAGCTTGTCCATGCTACATCTCCAAAACCGATGGAAAGATTTTAGTGACACTTTGCAGGATTATTTGTCACCAAGCCTATTTGTGCCTAGTATCTTGATTTTAAAGAAAATGAACTTTATCCATCCTTCAACTCCATAACGACTTGGGACATTTCAGTGAACATTTATAAAATTGTTTGCATGGTGTCATGATTATCCAAGCTGAGTTGTGCATTACATGTTTCATGATTTATTTTCGCACAGCTATCGACCCTTTATGTTGAATTATTTTAGTAAGAATTTCTCATACAAATGGTATTTCAATGAAATTTAAGGAATGATAGTTATCAAAGGCGGTCGGGCGTATATTACCGGAATTTTGGCAAATATTGCAGATTATATGTCAAAGCTTCCATCAATTTCACTTTTCAGTGACAGCTCTTGTTTTTTTTTAATTTTCTTTAATAAATCTACTGTTCTGAAAATGCACACCGGAAAACAAAAATACTAAATTACGAAGATAAAAAAGACAAAGAACGAACTCGCAAAAACACAAATAGATAAAGACAAAAACAAGAAATCACGATTATGAAGACACGTTTATTATTGACTTGCTTTGTCGACTTTTTATCCCCCGCCGAAAAGGCGGCGGGGGATATAGTAACAGTCTCCGTCCGTCCGTCCGTCCGTCCTTCCGTCCGTCCGCACTCACAGGAGAGTAATAATGTGGCTAGAGGGACAATAGGTAACTTTTCTTTCTCTTTGATGTCATTCATTCCGTAATGCTTTTATGTGGCTATTTTCTTTTGCGTGGCTAAAAGGAACAATTGAGAGAACAATAGAGTAGCCACATAATTACTGTCCTGTGAGAACGTCCGTCCTATCGTCCGACATTTTTGTCCGGAGCATATCTCAAAAAGTATTTGAGTTATCAACTTGAAACTTCATTGGTGGATAGACCTCATTGAGGAGGAGTGCAGTGCTTAAGAATGATAACTCTACCCTGCATAATTTTTGAGTTATTGCCCTTTGTTATTTTTCTAAATTAATTTTTGTCCAGAGCATAACTCAAAAGGCCTTTAAGATATCAACATGAAACTTCATAGGTGCTTAGATCTCACTCAGGAGGTGTGCATTGCACAAGAATAATAACTCTGCCTTTCATAAATTTTGAGTTATTGCCCTTTGTTATTGTTTATACTTAATTTTCACCTGAGTGGAGCTAACTCAAAAGTGTTTGAGATATCAACATGAAATGTTATAGGTGGATAGATCGTATTGAGAAGGAAAACTGTGCGCAAGAATGATAACTCTTCCCTTTAAAATTTTTGAGTTATTGCCCTTTGTTCTTTTTCATACTATTTTGTCGGGAGCTTATCTCAAAAAGTATTTGAGGTATCAACTTAAAACTTCATAGGTGGATGGATCTCATTGAGGCGGAGTGCAGTGCACAAGAATGATAACTCTACCCTGCATATTTTTTTAAGTAATTGCCCTTTGTTATTTTTCTAAATTAATTTTTTGTCCAGAGCATAACTCAAAAGGCCTTTAAGATATTAACATGAAACTTCATAGGTGCATATATCTCACTCAGGAGGTGTGCAGTGCACAAGAATGATAACTCTACCTTTCATAATTTTTGAGTCATTGCCCTTTGTTATTTTTCATACCTAATTTTTCACCCGAGTGGAGCATAACTCAAAAGTGTTTGAGATGTCAACATGAAATGTCATAGGTGTATAGATCTTATTGAGGAGGAATGCTGTGCGCAAGAATGATAACACTTCCCTATACAATTTTTGAGTTATTGCCCTTTGTTCTTTTTCATACTTTTTTGTAGGGAGCTTATCTCAAAAAGTATTTGAGGTATCAACTTGAAACTTCATAGGTGGATGGATCTCATTGAGGAGGGGTGCAGTGCACAATAATGATTACTCTACCCTGCATAATTGTTTAGTTATTGCCCTTTGTTATTTTTCAAAATTAATTTTTGTCCAGAGCATAACTCAAAAGGCCTTTGAGATATCAACATGAAGCTTCATAGGTGCATAGATCTAACTCAGGAGGTGTGCAGTACACAAGAATGATAACACTACCTTTTATAATTTTTTAGTTATTGCCCTTTGTTATTTTTCATACTTAATTTTTCACCTGAGTGGAGCATAACTCAAAAGTGTTTGAGATGTCAACATGAAATGTCATAGGTGGATAGATCTTATTCAGGAGGAATGCTGTGCACAAGAATAATAACTCTTCCCTATATAATTTTTCGAGTTATTGCCCTTTGTTATTTTTCATACTTAATTTTTCACCTGAGTGGAGCATAACTCAAAAGTGTTTGAGATGTCAACATGAAATGTCATAGGTGGATAGATCTTATTCAGGAGGAATGTTGTGCACAAGAATAATAACTCTTCCCTATATATTTTTTGAGTTATTGCCCTTTGTTCTTTTTCATACTTTTTTGTCGGGAGCTTATCTCAAAAAGTATTTGAGGTATCAACTTGAAACTTCATAGGTGGATAGATTTTACAAAGGACGGGTGCAGCACACAAGAATGATAACCTACCCTGCATTATTTTTCAGTTATTGCCCTTTGTTATTTTCAGCCATCAGTATTCAGGTTTCAAATCTGTAATCACTTCAGCCATCAGTTTTCATTACCAAAAGACCTCTTAAAATGGAATAATTCTGCTCTACTATATATACATTCTTCCAATGAGCAAACACATTCGGCGGGGGATGGCCATGTTGACATGGCACATGTTGGGTTTTTTTGTGTAGCGATTCACATATGAGTGTGCGTACGTGCGTGCGCACGCGCGCGTGCGTACGTGCGTGTGTGTGTGTGTGTGTGTTTTGGCGAAGAGATTAAAAACTTGTTCAATGAATATGATTCCATGCAAAAGTTTGGTTGTCAGAAATAAAAAAAAAGCAAAAAATAATCTTCTGAAATAGAGGATATAAGAATCCCTACAAAAGCCCAAATAAACAAAGGCTCGGCACTGTCAAGTGCAAACTACCGTCCAAGTTCCCTAGCACCGGCTTAAGCAGAATTCAACATTCAACATGAACTGGTAAAAATTTGAAACATTCAGAGACTAACAAGGCCTAGATTATAGATTTTGATTATAAGGCATTGTCTGGTAGACTCTATTAAGATTGTTCAAATTATAGAGCTGGGGTTATTGATTTTTATTATGTTTATATAGTAAAAACTTAAGGCTTGGCGCATTGATATTGGGTATATGATATCATATATAGGTCATCCATCAAAATTGTTAAAAATTTGCCCCTAGAATTCATATTGACCCCATCCCGGGTTCATTGGTTTTCCTTGTATAAAGTCAAAATTTAAAACACTTCTTCTCTGAATTGACCAAGGGTAGAAGTAAGATATTTGGCATGAAACATTGTGAAGTGGCTCTGTATAAAAAGTGTTCAAATTATAGTCATGGGATCAAAATTGGCCCTTCCTTGGGGGGTTTTTGATTTTCATTATATACATATAGAAAATAAAACTTAAGAAATCTTCTTGTCTGTATGTTCAAGGCTTTGTGTTTAGATATTTGGTATATATTTATAAAATCAACAAAAGGTCCTCTTTCAAAGTTCTTCATATTTTGCCTCTCGTGTCAAAATCCCGTCCAGGACTATTAGGTTGCCCTTTTAAGTATATAGTAAAATAATCTTCTTCTCTGAATTGACACAGATTTGTGGTTAGATATTTGGCATGAAACATTGTGTTATAGACCTCTTTCAAGATTCTTAGCTCACCAGAACCGGTTAGCTATTAGTATCAAAGGGGGACGCGTCGGCGTCCGTTGTCATGCGTCTACTTTCATCTTCGAATTTTTCTCTGATAATGCTTGGCATATTAACTTAAAACTTTTGGGATTAAGAGTCAAACAGGTTGTTTCATTTATTGTGTAAAAATATGTAGATTATATAATCAAACCGAAAATAAATTAAAAATAGTTTCTTCATTCATTGTAAGTGAATTAGAGTTCAGCGTTATTTATTATCCTCACCGACTGAAAACAGTACTACAAAATTGAAAGCAAAATGACAATTTTACATGAATAACCTTATTCAAAGGTTAGTGTATAGATACAATATTAATGTATACGTGGTTAACCCATTACGTTATATACACGCCTTTTAACGCCTTTTTCACCCCCCCCCCTATTTTGTTGTCTCAAATGGTGAAAAATGCCTTATTTAGGCCCCCAACACTTGATTTTGTTTGGAAAATGTTGTTAAAAAAAGTGACCTCTTTTTCGGCGCGCCCCCCCAACCAAAAGATACATCAGGGGGTTGCCAGAAGGGGGATGTGCCCCCTTCTGTTTGGGAGGTTTTGAAGGGGGCGGAGTCCCCCTCATCGCCAAGAAAATTTTGGACTTGTGAGAGGCTATATATGACCCCAGATTGATCATAAGGTAACGTGTAACCAACGCTGAAAAGCATTTGACTCTATCTCAATCCATTGAGAAGTTGCAGCACTTTGAAATCAATTTTGATGGAAAAAATCAACGCAAAATAGTGATTTTTGGCAATTTTGAGATGTCCCCTCGTTGCCATGGTAACAGAAAATTTAAGCCTGAGCATGTTGTTGCAAGGGCAATGGTCCAGTCAACATTTGTGCCAAGTTTGATTAGTGTTGAAGCAGTTTATATAGTATTATAGCAATTTGAACTTGTAACGGGAGACTTTACAATGAAAACAGCCATTTTTCACAAAATGCTCATGAAGTAATGGGTTAAGAATCCCATATCAGTTTTTACAAATATGATTTAATTAACTTACATAACATCTAACACCATAATTATGCATATTTACTGACGTAGATATTACAATTTTGTATGTCCTTTTACATATAAGATTTGGGCTAAAATTGAGTGCGTATTTATACTAATTAATTTCTTATAGGAAGTGTTCAGGGCTACGGAAACGTATAGAAAGACATACATACGATAAACCGGTATCTATTGAAGTAAAAGAGTCACTGAAACTAGAAAATAGAATTGTTACAATATGCGCACTACCTAATGGAGAGTTTCTTGCAGAGTTTGAGAAAATCCCAAGGTTTAAACTGCACAAGCTCAACAAAACTTTTCATACTATAGCACGTTGTGATTTACCCGGTTTAGGACATACAAGCATGTGTTACGCAGGTAACAACAAAGTTGCTTTTAATCGTATTGACCACCAACTACAGTTTATAGATGTCAACAATTTACACATTCTGGAACAAAAATTTACTTTTATAGAAAACGTGCAACACTTGGCCTGTCATGGGGATAAGATTTATGGATTTAATGGCGATACTGTCTTTTCTTATACCATAGCTAAAACAGAAGTACGTGTACTCTGTCTGCTTCCAGAACGTAAATTAGTGTACTTTAAGATGGGAACAAGTATGACGGTAAGCGATAATGGGGATTTTATTTACTGTACAAATCAGAGCGGTCATGTGTATCAAGTTGATAGCAGTGATGGAAATGTTTTGTTGGAGTTGAATTTTCATAGACTTCAATTGCCCAAGAAAACAATCTTCAAAAACAAACGTTTGCTTTCCCCTATATTCAACCCTTTTTCTCGAGATGTCGATTGGATAAATCCCGATTCACCAGTACATGTGTGTTACCTCGGAAACGGTACAGTCATTGTCTGTGACGGTGAAGGTCATAACATACAAATTGAAAGTGATGGTAAATATTCAATGACAACAATAGTTGACATGGAAAGAAATTTTTCCATCCCCTATGTTTCTACAATATATGACAGATCAACATCCAGTCTCATCACGGTAAATTATAATGTTATAAAGATTTTTACAGTGAAATAAAAAGATGTAATTGTTTTACTGGGTGTTCAAATAATGTTTCTTCAATGAACGCCATGCTAAAATGTGAGTGTTTTGTTGCCAATTGCTGTAGATTGTTTTATTTTTTTTAATCTATTGTCGATATTATTGTAGTTATTAATGTCATATTGGTGGACACATTTGAGGGAGTGCGGTAGTGTACGATCCCCTTACAAATTATATCGTACTTGCCAATTACATTAACAATATGAATATGTACACCTGTTTATGATATATGTGAAGTGGTCATTGTCTTAACCAAAATAGTGGTAATTGACCTGATGAGGTAGGACGCCCCAGAATTCCCTGTTAGGTTACATCTTGGTTTCCTAATGAATGGACAAGCAGGAAGTGCTCAGAAAGAAAGTATCTAGTATGTAAGTTTATCATTTCACTATAGATTAACTATATATGTGTGCATTATTTGAATGTTTGGTTTGGTCATACGTAGCTTTTGTCTGTTAGATTATTCAGATTATCGACTGTTTTTCCATAACCCTAGTTAGGTCTGTATATATTTGGTTCACAATAACAATTACCACATAAAAAAGAGGACTGTGCTGCTATACTGGACTTATATTTTAAGACACATTTGCTACTCTTTTGGACAGAAATAATTCAAGTAGTACTGACAATAAAAGTTGCTTATTAGAAGACATAAAGGGAATTGATCTGATGCTTAATTCACATTATTCAAACAATATTTAAAGCAACAAACCGCTAGATATTATTTTAGTTCTCTCTACCCTGCTGGCAACAGGAAAAACATAGATATATTTAAACATGGGTCTTATACGAATGGAATATACATTTGTACATATAATTACTAGTATAATATTTCCAGTCGATACAGAAAAAAATCTTTGCTTGATTTGAAATAGACCCAATTTATTATTTCTTTTGAATGAGTACAGCTGTTAAACCTATATTGGACGAGGCGCTAGCAATAGTTCCCATTTCTGCCAACAATTACAAGTTAAATAACAGATAATTATCTGTTTATCTAAAGAACTTTTGTGTTTTTAGCTCGACTTTTCTATGAAAAGGGGAGCTATCCTACTCGCCCCGGCGTCGGCGTCGGCGTCGGCGTTGGCGTCACACCTTGGTTAAGTTTTTCGTACCACCCCACTTTATTTCAGAAGTATTACAAGTATGGCTTTGAAACTTACCATACTTGTTCACCATCATAACCTCCATCTACAGACAAGAGTACATAACTCTGTCAAGGTTTTTGACAGAATTATGGCCCTTTTTTGACTTAGAAAGTGTATTGAGCTTGGTTAAGTTTTTTGTACCACCTCACTTTATTTCAAAACCATTGGAGGTATTGCTTTGAAACTGACCATACTTGTTTACCATCACGACCTTCATCAACAGACAAGAGGACATAACTCTGTCAAGGTTTTTGACAGAATTATGCCCCTTTTTGACTTAGAAAATACATTGAATATGGGTAAAAATCCACTTATTGCCTTAACCCTTTGAGATATTGCTTTGAAACTTTTAATGCTATTTCACATCATTACCCCCATCTGTACGCAAGAGAAGGTAACTCTGTCAAGGATTTGTTTTAAAAATTAAGGCCTTTTATCGACTTAGAATCTTGGTTAAGTTTTTAGTACCAGTCCACTTTTTGACTGAACTGTTTGAGATATTAATTTGAAAGTTGGAATACTTGTTTACAATCATGATTCCCAAACATGTCCAGGAGAAGGTAATTCTGTCAAAGATTTTAATACTGCAATACTATTAAATTTATTTAAGGCTCAACTCAGTTTTTTTTTCTTTCTTACCAGCCCTCTTTTGACTTAAACATTTCAAACTTTGCTGCAGTGTTCAAGGGTATCACACAATTCAGTAAAATAATTCTTCACTAAATATCTTAATGCTCATGGCCATTGTTCACTTTAAAAATACAGAGATTCTTGTATTGCCTTTTACTGCAAAAACTTTTTTTATTGGCAAGCAATAAAAAAGTCGAGCGCGCTGTCTTACGGACAGCTCTTGTTAATTATCTGTTAAACAAGATATATTTTCAGTTAAAATATAATGTAGAATGTTTCGGCATATCCCTTGCGTTTCTTATCTAAACAACTTTTTAAGTGAATAGATAATCTAGAATGTTTCGGACATCTTATTTTTTATTTAACTGGTAAGTGTTGGCAGTTCCGGGAACTTTTTATTGTATTTGGAAGTTGTATGCTTATTTGTTATTTATCTGTCTTACAGAAATATATCCAGTTAGTCTTATAAATATCTGTTATTTATCGTATTAACACAAAAATAATTGCATTCGTGTAGTAAGTCAGATAGTTAACGCGAAAATTTTATGGTTTACTGTTGGCAGTTATATGCCACCATACCTGCCCTTGTACATGCCATTTTGAAACATGAAATGTATAACATGACACAATCTTAAATGTATGACATTATATCAAACTCTCTGTATTTTGTGCCGGAGGCCTTTATTTGCAAATAAAGGTGTTTTTAACCAGGTTTTCAACAAAAGTGGTTATTGTAATGACGAAGTCGGCGGACTGGCGATTGTGCAAGCGGACGTCAACGTTTGGTTTCCGCATAATTGCTTGAGTTTGCTTTAGCTTATTGACACCAAACTTGGTGTATGGGTAGCTTTTACCAAGAGTCAGATTGGGATTCCCACCCAGGTGATGTGATCAAGGTCAAGGTCATTCTTTCTAAAAATAGGAAAATCTATTTCCGCTTAATTACTTGAGTTTGCTTTGGCCTATTGACGCCAAACTTGGTGTATGGGTAGCTTATATCAAGAGTCAGCTTCGAATTCCCACCCAGGTGATGTAATCAAGGTCAAGGTCACTGTTTCTAAAAATAGAAATTCAATTTCCGCTCAATAACTTGAGTTTGCTTTGGCCTATTGACACCAAACTTGATGTATTGGTAGCTTATACCAAGAGGCACCTTGGGATTGCTACCAAGGTGTATGTGATCAAGGTCACTCACTGTTGCTAAAAGAAAGAATTTTAGTTTCCGTTAAATTACTTAAGTTTCCTTTGGCCTATTAACAGCAAATTTGGTGTGTGGGGCGCAACTCGGGATTGCAAGGTCATTATGTCACTGATGCTAGAAATAGAAATTTAGTCTCCGCATAATAACTTGAGTTTGTTTGAAAAACCTGTTGACACCAAATTTAGTATGTAGGTAGCCTATATCAAGACATAACTTGGGATTGCTACCCAGATGTCTGTGAACAAGGTCAAGGTCACTGTTGCTTGAAAAATGAAACTCAGTTTTCATGTAATAACTTGTGTTGACACCAAACTTGTTGTGCGGGGAGCTTATATTAATGCAGCTGCTACCTAGATATCTGGGAGCAAAATCACGATCACTTGCTTACAATAGAATTTTCAGCTTCTTCCGAATAACTTCAGTACACGTTGACCTATTGATACTTGAATTGGCATGTGTGTAGCTTACATGAAAATACAGCCTGGTATTTATCCTCAGGTACCTGATATATTTTATTTTTGAACTTCTGAAACCACAAATTACAACATCCTTTTTTGCAATGCCATATTTTATATAACTAACTCAATACTTGGTCGTTGAAAACCTGGTTTTGTCGCATTTCGGCTCTTCTTGTTGTAATTACATTATTATTATTGTTCTTGTTACAAATGTTTAAAAATATGTTTAGTTTGCTATGAGTTTCTAGTTTATTGTTATGTTTACTTTGTAAAAATTTATTACATTATCATTTGTAAATAATGCTGCTGTTTTCATGCTTTACATGAGTTCTGATTTTTGAGGAAGTTACATTTGTAAAAGCTCTCTAAGGTCAATAAATTTATTCATTTATTGATTTTAGGCACTTAAGCATATAAATGAACTTTCGAGATTATCTAAATTCACTTATACAATTTTGATATTTTTCTTAGTATTTTTTACAAAATATAGATAACTTCATTTCTTGTATTTTGCCCTCCCCCAAGCAAAGCACTTTGTAGCACATTGGGACAATTTTGTTATGTGAAAGATCAGGCCTGAAGCTCAAAGGTCAAGTTCAAACTCTGACTTTTTTTGGAAATTGTTTAAATGAATATGCATATATTCGATATATATTGTTCGTGTCCGGTCAACAATTCTGCCATTGATGGATAGATTTAAAGTTTATGCATAAATGTGTTTGACATAATTTCGATGTGTCGCGTGCTAGAATTGGGTCCCCACCTCAAAGGTCAAGGTCACACAGTCATGATATGAATCATTTTATAAAAAGGCATTGATGGTTTTGTCCGGCGCCAATTCTGTATTTCATGGGTGGTTTTTATAATAATTTAACATAAATATGTAAGATATGATGATATATTGTCGCGCATAGGGGTCAGGTGTCCAGTTCAAAGGTAAAGGTCACACTTGTACGTTTTGAATAGATTGTCTTCTTTTGTGCATAGCTTGGACATAAACGGATGCATAAATATGCTGATTATAACGATGATATGTAATGAATAAAATTAGCACAGTAGCGCAAAAGATACTCGAATGTCAAAAGTTATGATATGATATTGCATTGATAGCTATGTCTAGTCTATGTCTTTTCGTCATTCAGTGACATATTTCTTTATACTTTTGCTTAAATATACGGTTCCTTTTAAACAATTGGTGATGAGTTTGTAGCTTAATGATCAAAGTCAAAATTTGACTTTTAAGGTTTACAGTTTCATTATTTTTTTTCTCGTTTTTTCGTTTAATAGCATACAATCATCAAAGTTTTTATCACACTTTTAGTTAATTACATTTTATTACATGTTACACTTCTTTTCAACTGATTCATTTTTTTCTTATTTAACTTGCTTATTCTTATAATCATATTTTTGGTAAAATTAGAACATTTTCTATTTAAGTATGCTTTGTGAACTTGATTAGCTATAAGTTACTTTGCTAAGTGTACATACAAGTTAGTTTAATAAAAATTTGGTTGTTTTTCAACTAATTTAACACTTGAGTTTTATTTCCCTTTGCATTTAAAGGTATTCCTGACCCCCAATTACAATCAAATCACTGTATGTGGTAAGCCCGAGAATTGTAAAGCATAGGTAGTCAGACTATTCACCCCCTTTTGACACCTAAGGTACTTAAATTAACTGTTAAACCTACCGCCTGTCACACCATTTTACATACAATTTATACTGAGAGATATGTAACCGGTTAACTTTACTTGAAACTCAACTGATAAGAATAACAGGTCGTCTGCTAGTTCGGAAACTGTTTATCGGTTATTCAAATGTCATGAGAAATTCAGCCCAATTCAAATGCTATGCTGACTTCAGTGCCATTCAAATTCCATGTGAAATTCAGTGTGCTTCATATTCTATAAGAAATTCAGTACAATTGAAATTCCATGTGGGATTCAGTGTGCTTTATATTACATGTGAAATTCAGTGCAATTTAGATTCAATGTATTATTTAGTGTTAATCAAATTCCATGTAAATTCAACACAATTTCAATCCATGTACAATTCTGTAATTTAATATCAAATTTGTATTTATACCATGAGAAATTCAGTATGTTGCAATTCAATCCATCTCTGAATATCTGAATACTGAACAAGGTTTGAAATGTAGTCTTTCGGGTTATATTATATGGAAAAGACGGCAGTCCATAAAATAAATTTACAGTTTTTACTTACAACTAGCAGCAACTGAAAAAAGGCCTGCATGAAATACATTTACCAGCCACAGCAACTAAAAAAAGGCCTGCATGAAATACATTTACCAGCCACAGCAACTGAAAAAAGGCCTGCATGAAATACATTTACCAGCAACAGACTAACCATGTATCAAACAGTAAAATGAAATTTAATATGTATGTGATTATACTGATATGTAAACAATATCAAAACATCCTTTATCCTTCATGTTACCAAACCAATTGAAAGTAGGTCTCGTACAAGGCAGTGATCGTTCAGGCTTAATTCACTCAGATACCGCTAGGAGAGCATTGAAAAATCAAAACATATAATAACAATGCAATTGATCAACT